GACTGATCGGCTGTGAATAGAAATTTCCAGGACCCTCTCCTTGGGTTTGATTAATTTATTAGAGTGGCTCACAAAACTCAGGGAAATACTTAGGTTTACGAGTTTATTAAAGGATATATTAAGGATACAGATGAAGAGATACACAAGGCTAGCTCTGGGAGGGTCCCAAGCACAGGAGCTTCTGTCCCCATGGAGTTTGGGTGTGTCACCTTCCCAGTACATGGATGTGTTCACCAACCTGGCAGCTCTCCAAAACCCATACTCTTGGGATTTTATGAAGGCTTCCTAACATAGGCATGATCAGTTGTTAACTTGACTTCTAATCCCTCTCCCCTCTCTGGAAAAGTGGATAGGGCAGTGGAGCAGGACTGAAAATTTCAAGCTTCTGATTATGGTTTGGTATTTTTATTGACCAGCCCCCATCCAGAAGCCCACCCAGAGTCACCTCATTAGAATTAGGTGCTCCTAATGCTCTTATCACTTAGAAAATTACGAGGGTTTTAAAAGCTCTGTGCCAGGAACCGGGTGGGGGCGGGGGGGCAGAGACCAATACATACATTTTTCTATTACCTAATACTTTTCTATATACCAACAATGGACAGGACAAATTTGAAAATAACAACACATTACCATTTACATTAGCAACCCACAAAATGAAATACTTAGATACCAATGGAATAAAGTACTACAAGATTTACATGAGAAAAACTACAAAATTCTGATGAAAGATACCAAAGAAGGACAAAACATTTATGGAAAGACCAAATATTTTCAAGATGTCAGTTCTTCCCAACTTAATCTATCAATTCAATACAATCCCAATCAAAATCCTAGCAAATTATTTGTGGGCATCAGCAAACTCATTCTAAAGTGTATATGGAGGCAAACCCAGAATAGCTAATTCAACAGTGTAAGAAGACTGACACTACCCAACTTCAAGACTCACTATAAAGCTACAATTATAAAGATAGTGTGGTACTGGTGAAAGAAAAGACAATTAGATCAATGGAACAGAAATGAAAGCCCAGAAAAAAACCCACATAAATACAGTCAACTGATCTTTGACAAAAGAGCAAAGACAATACAATGGAGCAAAGATAATCTTTTAACAAATGGTGATGAAACAACTGTATATTCACATGCAGAAAAAAAAAATGAACCTAGATGGTCTTATGCCCTTCACAGAAACAAATTCAAATGGATCATATACCTAAATGTAAAATACAAAACTATAAAACTCCTAGATAGATAACATAGGAGAAAACCTAGATGACTTTATATATGACAATAACTTTTTAGGTACAATGCCAAAGACACAATCCACAAAAAAATTGCTAAGATAGACTTCACTAAATTAAAAACTTCTGATCTGCAAAAGATAATGTTAAGAGAAGAAAACCAGAGTGGGATAAAATATTTATAAAACATACATCTGATAAAGGATGGTTACCCAAACTATAGATACAACTCCTAAAACTCAAGGAAAAGAAAATGAAAAGCCCAATTAAAAATGGATACAAGACCTGAACAGACATCTCACTAAAGATATACAGATGTCAAGTAAGCATATGAAAAAATGACATTGTATGTTATGAGGAAATTACAAATTGATCAAAACAACAAAGAGATACCACCAAACACCCATTAGAATGGGCTAAATCCAAAATATTGACAATGCCAACTGCTGGTAAAGATGTGGAGTGGAGCAAAAGTAATTCTCATTCACTGCTGGTGGGAATGCAGAATGTAGAGCCACTTTGGAAGACAGTTTGGCAGGTCTACAAAAACTAAGCATACTCATATAATTTCCAAGCAATCACACTCCTTGGTATTTATACAAAAGAGTTGAAAACTTATATCCACACAAAAACTGCATAGATATTTATAGTAGTTTTATTGATAACTGACAAAATTTGCAAGAAACCAAGAAGGCCTTCAGTAGGTGGATGGATAAATAAACTATGGTACATACAGATAATGGAATATTATTTAGTACTAATAAGAAATGAGCTATCAAGCCATGAAAAAAAAAACACAGAAGAAGCTTAAATGCATATTAATAAGTAAAAAATAAAAAAGACAATCTGAAGGGCTACATTCTGTATGCTCCAAATATGTGACATTCTGGAAAAGGCAAACAATGAAAACAATAGAGATCAGTGGTTGCCAAGCGTTAGTGGGAAAGAAGGGATGAAAAAGCAGAGCACAGAGGATTTTCAGGACAGCGAGTATAATACTATTCTGTATTATACTATAATGGTAGGTACAGGTCATTAAACATTTGTTCAAACCCAGAGAATGTAGCACCAAGAGTGAACCCTAATGTAAACTATGGAATATGGACGATCATGATGTGTCAATGTGGGTTCATCAGCTGTAACCAATGCACCACTCTGATATGGGATGTTGATAATGGGAGAGATTGTACATGTGTGAGGACAGAAAGTATATGGGAACTCTCCAAACTTCCCATTAAATTTTGCTGTGAAGCTAAAACTGCTCTAAGAAGTAAAGTTTAGTACTTTAAATAAATAAGTAAAAATAGTGAAATTCAATAAATGCATAAAGCTATAAATGCTTGGGGTGGGTTTCTTCTCCATTTAAAAACAGAATCTTTTAGAATCAAGATGAAAACATTGGCCCAAAATTTAAATTTTCCTCAAATTAATGAGGTATCTGAACACCATTCACATTCATTTATCTTTTGACTCCAAAATATGTATTTTAAAAATGGCTAGTTGAGGTTTGTAGCATACTCTTTGACTAAAAAAGAAATTTCTCTTGCGCTAACCAGGTGGCTCAGTTGGTTGGAGCATTGTCTTGCATACCAAAATGCCGCAGGTTCAATCCCTAGTTGGGACACATACAGAGGGCAACTGATCAATGTTTCTCTCTCCTTCGCTAAGATCAGTAAGCATATTCTTGGATGATTAAAAAAATAAAATAAAATAAAATAATTTCTCTGTACTGAATCAATTGGCCTATAAGGAAACTGAATCCCCATCTTTGGCCTTACTAATGTTATACCCTAATCAAGTGTATACTCAGAATCCAGACAGGAAACAGATGGTACACATAAATTAGGATAATTTGAAGATCGCTTATTTGCAAAAAGGTGTGGATACAATATAAGGAAACCATAAGAAATGATGCAAGTTCTAGGGACTAGCTGCAATGGAGCTGTCACCATCCCTGGACCCAAAAGGACAAGAGGTTACTGAAACCCAGAAAGAGAGCATCACGTAGAGTAGGCCAACTTGAGAGAAGCACTGATGTACTGAAGGATAGGGCCACCCTGAATTCACGTCGCAGGGAGGGGACAGGGAGAATAAATATACAGGTTGGGCAAAAGAAGGCTTACAGTTTTGAGTACGTGAAACAGAGTTTATTCTCATATTATTTATTACTTATTGCATTACTTTCCATACAAACCACTGTAAACCTAAGTTTGCCCCACCCTGTATTTATTCACTCTCCTTCCTTCCATCTCTTGCCCTGGCACAACTCAACAGAAAGCCTGAAGAGAGAGGGAACTGATGCAATCTATTCAGGTAAGCCTTACAAGGAGAGAAAGATGGGTAAGTTTGGATCTGGAGAGAGAAATGGAAGATACTTCTCACACCAATAAATTAAATAGCTACAAGGTAACTAATTTTTAAATAAACATTTAAATGATACTCAGTAAATATTGTTTCAAAGCATTGAGTGTCAATAAGAACAGCTACTTAATTCTCTCGAAATAGAAAAGTGGTTCAAGTGGTATTTCAGATGGAGCAGTGAAGGGAGTTGGGGAGAGAAAACAAGAGGTCATTCTCTGTAGAAAGAACAAGGCCTTGCCTACTTCCTTCTCTCATACCACTTTCCCATTATATCGGTGGGGATACTTGTAGTTGCAAATATAGGAAAACAACACTGACCCTATCCAAACTGGCTTAAATAAAACTGAAGATTTATTGGTTCACATAACTGAAAAGTCTAGAGGTAGGAAAAGGGTAAGGTCAGTCAATCCAAGGACTCAAAAATGTCATCAAAGAACAGGGTTCTTTATATCACACCAATCTAGCATTCACATTGTCAAGTCCTTTTAGGTTCCTTATGGTTGTAGGATGACTGAGAGCCACAGTGGGGTTACATCCTTCCTGGTTTATAACCACTATCTAAGACCATTTGTCCACTTCTGAACCAATGACTGTGGTCAAAGGAAGGAAATATGTTTATGGCCTTCTGCCAATTTAGGGCTCATCTCTAAACTTGAGGCATCAAAACGAAAACCTGGATGAGTTTGAGAAGGAGAAAGGGGATACTGATGCTCAGTAAGCAGCCAATAAATGTCCAATGCACTCCTTCACTTGTGGTGCTCCAGACATAACTCCACTTGTGTGGAGTTCCTCACATACTATACTAAGCTCTTTCCTGTGTCACAGCTTTTGCATGTGCTATTTCCCCTGCCTAAAACATTATTTTCTTCCCTTCTCCACTCCTTTACCTCCCATGTAATAATGCCACCTGTTATAATGTCATTACATCCTTTCCTCTTTCTTCACATAACTTATAATAGTTTTTAATTATTTAATCTATTTGACTTTTTACATCTAATTCCTACGCTAGACTAGAAACTTCAAAAAAGCAGGGACATGTTTTATTTTCTTCATACCTGTATCCTCAGTGTCACACAATATTTGGCACACAGAGTCCCTCAAATATTAAACTGACTGACTGAATGAATGAATCTAATAAGATTGACATATAATGAATGCTTATAGGCTACTGATGTCACCAGAAAAATACATGCCAATGATGACAACTCAAACAATATTTTGAATAGATTAGAACAAATTCATTCATTACATTTACTGGAATTATAACAAAAGTTTATGGATCTATATTTAAAACATTTTATTTATATTTATAACAAAAATCTACCCAATTTTTTTTAGTAATATTTCATAAAAATGAATTATTTTAGACTATTTAATAGTATAATACTGTATCAATCATACCTTTTTTAAACTGCTTATTTCAGATTCTTGTTTTTTATTTAGAGCTGAAAGTCTTTTGTTTATCTGTATTGCTTCCTGTACTGAAACATGAAAGACATTTAGGATAATATTATATTCAATTTACTCTTTAAGGAAAGTATCACCAACATGGACAAGAAAAACAGCCTCAATGCAATGTATATAATTATTACTGATTTTAAATAAAATTCACTAAACTTCCATTTACTACTACTAGTCTCATTAACTTCAATTTATTCATTATAAATATTAAGATCATTCAAACATTTCCTATTAAATATATAAGTAAGTTTAAAGGAGACTGCACCTACCATTTTGTTCTAACTTCTTATGATTCTCCTTTACCAATCCAAACTGGCCTGTTACTGTAGCATAGTATTTCTCAATTTCATTCAATTGCTTCTGATGATCTTCTTTAGCCAGAAGATGTAACTGGACTTTTTGTTCCTATTTGTTTTAAATGTTATAGTTGCAAATATAAGAAAATTACACTGGCCCTATCCAAACTGCCTTAAATAAAAATGAGAATTTATTGGCTCACATAACACACACACATATACTTATGTGCACATATACATATTAAACATATAAAAAGCTATTATATTTATTAACTTGTTATTAACATAAACATGTCGTGAGAAAGTACTGAGTATACCATATGGAGGAAAAGTTAGGAGATACTCCTAAATTTATGTAAAATTAAAGCACATTTTTTCCTATAACAAAATAGTCACGATTATATTTCCCTTGTTTACAGTTTCTTTTTCAAAAATCAACTGATTGTTTTATTTATTGAGAAGTTAACTAGTCCAGTCTAACATGAGCAATGTGAGGAGAATGTTAAAGCAATACTTTTGGTAATTTAGGAAATAATTTTTTTCTTTAAATTTGCTGGCCTAAGTATGACATGCATTATCAAAATTCAGGTAATTTTTCTGAGATTAATTTTAATGAATATACCACCTTCTCAATGTATTTTAAAAAATGGAACAATGAGGACAATATCTGTAAGTGACATGGAGGCGATATAGTATAGTAAAAAGTCTAAGCTAAGAGAGGTAATTGGTAAAAATTGGACTCCACATAAAATATGGGCCTTTACTGCTTTCAGCTAAAGGAGCCTGTTTTTTTTAACCATACTTAGAAACATGACTTTAAATTTTAAAAAGAGATATTATCTTAATAGAATCAATAACATTTTTAAGGTCTTGATCTTGACTTGGCATTAGCAGAATCATTGATTGGTTTCACAACTTTCATTCATTTTTGACACATGCTTCAGCTTCTATGATGAGCAGTGATGTAGAACAGTCTAAGGTCTGTCGACCGGCACTCAGTAATTGTTTTCTGAAAGAATTCTTGCTGTCCCATAGCGTTCCAACAATGGCAATTTGTTAGATTTGCCTGGCCATCTGTCTCCCTTACCTAACAGTACCACAACTTCAAGTATTTACTTGAAATATTTTTTCCTCATTACAATCTAGTAGGACTAAAATTCAGGGATCCTATTCTTCCCTAGTCAAGTGAAGGGCGTATTACCCAAAATAAACCAACTGATTTCTACCTTTTGGGAATTTAAATCTTGAGCAAAAAAGAGCATAACACTGAAGAAGTTCAGTGATGATCGATCCTATCCAGACTGATGTCAGACCTCTGTCCTGGGTTCCTACATCCTGCTTCACAAAGTTTGGAATCATTCTGGTCCCTGTTCATTCTCAAACCTATTCTTCACTCTCTGATTTATTGCGAGGGCCTCCACTAAATCTCCATTTGCACAAGTTAACCAGAGCTACTTCATACAGCTAAAAACCAAAGTGCAGGCAGTACAGAACAGTCAAAAGATAGTGCACATAGGTTTAAGTTCTACATCTGTAATTTAGTTGCTGTGTGACCTGAGGAAAAAGTCATATATCTTGTCTTTAAAACAAAGACTATGATAGTATCTCCTTCATAGTGTTGTTGTGAGGATAAAATGAATACATACATACAAAGCATTAAGAACAGAGCCTATCACATAATAAGTATACACAATGGTATTATTATTCCTTAACTGATAAAAGTACCTTCATAGTTTTAATTTTTATTTGAAATTAGAATGGCCCTCTCTAATACTAATAAAGATTTAAGTTGTATCTGACTATATTATTTTGGCAAATCTGATAATTTTAATTTTTTCAAAGATACTTTTAAACAATAATATCATTGGTAATGATTATGATAGATCACTGAAAGTTTCTCATGCATATCTATGGGCTCTTCAAATTCTCTACTTAATCATTTGAAATTATGGTGTAACAGTTATAAAAGCAAACAAGTTGATATGTGTCTTCCCCCCTGAGCAGTTACAAGCCTACCTGAGTAGTCACTATTATGAATAACTAAACAATGAACAATAATGAACTACATTTCATTCCTCTAAAATACCACTTAATTCTCTGCTCCAGAGAGTTATATTCACTATTTCAGCAGATGTGTAGAAACCTCATACAATTTCACTAGGAACTGGTCTAAAGACATTTTTTTCAATTCAAGGAATTTTTTAAATTTTCAATTCAAATCGATTTTTATATAGCCTCTTTGAGAACACTGTCTCCTACATATTAATACAGGCTTCCTTAACTTTCAGTTTAAAAGTGGTGGATCAAGTAGGCTGCCCAATGCCTGCAAACGTTAACAATCCTGATAACTAAAAATGCAGCAAAAATCAAGTGATTTCATAGGAATTCTCTACATAGAACTCTATACACATTAATTTGTGATATACTCTATTCCAACATCCTTTGCTTGAGGCCCAAGTTAAATTCAATTTAAATGCAGTTTCATTGTTTGCATGACATAATTCTGATTTTCAGACACATCAGTCTATTCAATGGCCATAATAAAAACTATAAAGCCTTTGAAATCACATAAGCACCTACAGCTTATTAGCCATGCAGGTTTATATGGGACTGTTCATGTATGCATCTTGTTGGCTGCCCTGACAATAAGATGAAAAGGCCAGCTGTCAAGTTTGCCATTAACTGCATGACTGTCAGCACACAGTTTGAACTATTTGGGAAACAACATCAAAAAGTATATTGGTAACACCTGTCTGAGAAATCTAAGAACATTTTTAAAATACAAATAAATTGGCATTATTAAAAGTTTAATATCAAAATAGTACACCATAATAAGTAAAGATTATTTTACTGAGATGACTAAGAAATAAGTATATATGGCTTTTGTTCTTTTACCTCTGTGAATTCGTTCAAGTTATTTACTCTTGTACACAATTTTACTACTAAATGCAAAAAATCTGTCCACAAGAAAATAATGCCAGGATTCACTGCTTTCTAAATACATTGTGCCTCATTTCAAGCAAACTTAAAATCAAAATTAGAGAAAGACAAAACAGTGTGTATATAATTAGTGAGTAGGGGTGTATGTGTGTAGATCACTTACAAGCCTTGGGGTATTTAAAATAGGAATCATTTAATATCTACATGCATCTTTTTAGAACTACATTGGTATAGCTGTTCACTTCCCCCTCTTCTCATTTCCTTATGAAGACTGATTTGAAAACCTTTTGAAATAAAATTAATTTCCCTTAAAACAACTAATGCATTATAAGTAAATTTTCAAGAAAAAAAACAAAAATAAAATTTATATATTCTTCACTTCTAATTTTGCAACTTACCTTCATTTTCTTCAGTTAAATCCAAAATAAAGCAGTGGGCTTATAAAACTGACTTTTTAAAAACTTACGGCATTTTTGATACTTTTACCCTTTCAATCACAAATATATACACTACTTAAAAAACCTAAAGTTATACATACTTTGTACGTGTGTACAGATATACATATGTATAATCATGAAGATTATTTCCAGACAAGTCTTCAGTCTAAAAATATTCTACTCTGAAAAAAAATGTTGTCATTCAAAATCATATAAAAATCTTTAATATTGAAACTTTGTTTTAATTTAATAAAGAAAACTAAGTTTTACATCAAACTAAAAAGTATTTGCATTAGCAAAGGAAACCATGAACAAAAAGAAAAGACAACCAACCCACTGAATGGGAGAACATATTCATCGATACATCTGATAAGGGGTTAATATCCAAAATTTATAAAGAACTTATAAAACAACACCAAAAAAACCCAAACAATCCAATTAAAAAATGGGCAAAAGACCTGAATAGATACTTCTCCTAAGAGGACATACAAATGGCCAATAGGCATATGAAAAGATGCTCAATGTCATGAGAAAAATGCAAATTAAAACCACAATGAGCTCTCACCTCACACCTGTCAGAATGGCTATCATCAATAAATTAACAAGCCAGTGTTGTCAAGCCTGGGGAGAAAAGGGAACCCTGGTGCACTGCTGGTGGGAATGCAGACTGGCACAGCCACTGTGGAAAGCAGTGTGGAGTTACCTCAAAAAATTAAAAATGAAACTGCCCTATGAACCAGCAATTCACTTCCAGGAATTTATCCAAAGAAACCTGAAACACTAATTCAAAAGAATATATGCACCCATATGTTCATTGCAGCATTATTTACAGTAGCCAAGATCTGGAAGTGGCCCAGGTATCCATCAGGAGATGAGTGGATTAAAAAAGTTATGGTACATTTACACAATGGAACATTACTCCACCATAAAAAGGAAGGAAACCTTACCCTTTGTGACACCATGGATGGGCCTGGAGAACATTATGCTAAGTGAAATAAGCCAGCGAGTGAAAGACAAGTAACATTTTATTTCACTCATATGTGGAATCTAATGAACAAACTGAACTAACAAGCAAAATAGAAACAGATGCATAGAGAGCAAGCTGATAGCTGTTGAGGGGCGGGAAGGGTAGAGGAGGGTGGAGGGATTGAGCAAAAAAGAAAAACAGAAGAAAAACTCATGGACAAGGACAGCAGTGTGGTGATTGTCGGGGGAAGGGATGGAGGGAGGTGGAGAAGGGTATGTGGGGGATAAATGGTGATGAGCACAGATCGACTTGGTCAGCTGAACACACAATACAGTGTACAGATGATATGAGGTAGGGTTGTACACCTGAAGCCTGTGTAATTTTGTTAACCAGTGTCACATCAATAAATTCAATAAAAAGGAAAAAAAGAAAAAAAATTTCTTTTAAGTCTTTTCTTTAGAGGAAAAGGATATACAAATAAAATATAATTAGCTGAATAAGTTTCTACTTCATCCATTAAGCTGGATTAGCTATTCGGTTACACAACATGGTCACCTAATAGAGTAAATCACAGGAACACACAGAAAAGATTTTCATCAATGACCAAATCACAATGACAGTTTCTTTGATGTTCTCTGGTATGTTTTTATCATGTTTTGTTGCATTCTTTTTATTGGTAATAATCAATGTGATCACTTGTTCAAGGGAAAGTTTGGATACTTTACAGATAGATGAATCTCTCCATTCATAGTTGTGTTAATTTAGAGACCTATCACCACTTCTACACAAAAACAAGTTTACTGAATTCACAAAAGACAGAAACCTGCTAGTAGTGAAGAGCTCACCAAAAGAAGGTCATTAGCTTCTTCAAAAGTTTCTTAAAAGTATTTTTAAAATTATTTCTTTCAGCACATTTAACCTCATCAATTACTCCCCAAGGTCCTGCCTTGAAACAGTGACCATCTTGCTTCCTGACTTGCTCATAGAGCCAAATAATGTAGCAAATAATGTACTGATTTAAATAAGATTAACTGAATTACTGAATACTGTCCAGCACTCTGAATAAAGACCTGAAATATATGAAAATAATGCAAAAAGAAGAGTGTAAGAATCTTCAGAAAAAGGATTATTTTTAACTTTAAGATCAATTATCTAAAAACATACAATATTCTGGCAGAGTGGACATAATAAATGTACCTCTCAGTATATAAGAGATTGAACTGTCAGTAAAAATATTATTAGTATAATTCAAATATAATTTTAGTAGGTTCTTAAGAGGCTATAATTCATATTACCAAAATGCTCAGAAGTGACCAAAAACTACCATGAGTATACTGCATGTTTCCAGGGTTTTTTTTAAGATTATAAATATCTGATGAAATTTTAAAGTGGAATAAATAAAACACATTTTATGTTGCTTTTGATCTTTAACTTGTAGCCTTATCTCCCAGGTCAGAGGGCACATTATTCAATTTCACTATATTTTGTGTAAAACCACTGTAGCGTTGAAGATGACTTTCAGTACAAATGTCATGGTACTTAAAGCTAAACTGGAATCTAGTTTTTCAGCTTTTTAATTAAAATCATAGCTTAAAACAGTCTGACGATATTATCTTTATTCTTTCCAGTTGAACAGTGACAGAATTTTCACATCTTTTACTCAATCAAGCTTAGCAATCTTTCTATGGCTCTTTTATTTTTTAACACACCAAAATAATTTCAAAAAAAATTTATGTTTTTGTATTTAATGCCTGAAGGATAGTCTCTCATTTCTTACTTCTCATGTATATAATATATAAGATTGACTCAAAAACTAATTTTACTTGCCTTACAGTCTGCTCCCAAAAAGGATTATTAAAAAAGGGTAAACCCACCCAAGAAGCCCTCTGAAGATTTAAGTGGATATGGGAGAATTTTGCTTACTCAAAAAATACAAAAATAAATCCTTCTGAATCAAAAAGGGATAAAAAGAGATTATCAAAGTAAATAATCCATAAAATGTTATGCTGTAAAAATGCAAATACTAACTTTTAATATACTGTAAAAGAGGAATATACAAATAAACACTTGTTGAATGACAAAGGATGGGTACTATACCCCAAGTGCTCAAAGTATTCAAATGCTACTTCATATTATTTTTTCAGGCTATAATTAATAACTCCATGTTTGCACAAACAGCTAGAAAAGATATCATTAAGAGGTTTTGTTGTTCTTATTTCTTTGTTTATTTTAATATAAAACCTCTACCAATAATATGGAAACTGTTAAATTTATTTTATAATAAGTTAACATTATATAATCTGGAAATAAATTTATAAAATAATTTAAGATATATTTGAAATTGTAATTTAGTCTGGGAGTGGGTGTATATTTTGTAATTTCCTTACCATTTCACTCACTTTCTTCTGTAAAGAATATTTAGAAACCTTTATAAAAAATGAGAAAAAAATCTCATTAGGATTCTTTAATTATTTAGTTACAAATTCCTCCTGATAATAAAGTTGCATTCTATAAAAAGTGGCATTTATCTTCCATGCACTATTTATTTCTAGTGACTTTTTTTCAAAATGTTACTTACCATAACTTTCTTCCTTATAACAAAAACAATACATTCACTTATTTATTCAGCACATATTTATGGAGCACCAACTATATATGCCAGCCACTTTCCTAGGATCCTGGGATACGAACTTCTTTGTCTTGGGAGCAGTGAATGAAACAAAGTTCCTCTCCCTAAAAAGCTTTATGTCCAGTGGCAATAGTGGTAGACAGACAATAAAATAAAAGTACAGAAGTTAGAGAGTGACAACTACCAAGAAGGAAAATAAAGCAAGAAGGATAGCAAGAGCAGTCTAGACAAGTTTGATACTTATTCTTAGCACTTTGCTGAAGAAAATGTGATAAAAACAGATTAGGAATAGGGAAAAAAAGCACAGGGAATAAAGTTGTTTTAAACAGATCATCTCGCAACCCAGAAATAGCAATCATTAATATTTTGGTTCCAACAGGTATTTTTCTATGCATTTATAATTTAAAAGAGAAGCAGTGGGGGAGAGGAATAATAATATATGTACTATGGTTTACCCTATTTACCTAAAATATAACAAACACCTTTCTATGACAAATTAGCCTACAATGTAACTTTTTTAAATTAATCTAATTTTTTCAAATACATTTGTCTCTGCCTTCCCCCCACCACTTTCCCTTTACAATGTAACTTTTTAATGGCTACGTAGTATTCCACTATGCATACCATAGTCTACCAAATCATACTCATTTTTGTATGTCTACCCAGTTTTATAAAACTATTCTGAAATAAATATGCTTCTACCAAGAACTCTGAATTATTCATTTTAGCTGGATCAATTCCAAGGAGGAGAATTCCCAAGTTTTGTTCATTTTTACAGACTTTTAACAATTTTACATAGTCCTCCTGAGTAGTTAACCACGTTAATCCCAACCAGCCATGTATTAGTACACATTTTCTTGAATCCTGCTTGTATTTGTTAAATTTTAAGCAAAAACACAATAATCACTTCACATTTGTAGCACACTTTGAACAAGCTGATAACTATTTCATTTTGGTGAAATGGATTACATGTGATTGATTTCTTTAACAAATACTGAATGCTTACTGTAAGAAAAGCACTGATATAAACATTGGGGTTACAATATTGGACCAAAAGTATTTGCCCATCTTAAATTCTGGGGAAGGTAGATAACAAGCAATATAAATAAAATACATTGTCTGTAAGATATTGATAAGTGCTAAAGAAAAATAGAAGGAATTACATAGGGTGGCTGAGAAAGTCCTTTCTGAGAGGGCAACTTTTGAGCACAGACTTAAGAGAAGGAAGAGTATTCCAGCAAGTGCAAAGACTGTAAGGAAGGGAAATGTCTGGTGTTTTCAAACAACAGCAAGGAAGCCAGTTTGGCTGTAAAGGAGTAAGCAAGGTGGAGAAGAGCAAAAGATAAGTTCAAAGAGTAGAGGTAGCGGGCAGTGGGAGAGCCGTATCATTGTGATCTTGTAATGCATGATACAGATTTAGGTTTTTACCCTGAGTAAGAAAGGAAGCCACTAAAGAGTGGTAAGCCCGATTTACCCTTTTAAAGGATCACTCTTTTATCTTAATGCTAAAGGGGAACAGAGGTAGAAGGAGGGAAACTACTATAAATTACTGAAATAATCCCCATTAAAGAGGATGACGAAAGAAAACTAGGATGTTAGTAATAGGTACAGTGACAGTGCTCAGATTCTGGATATACTATGAGAAGGAAGCCGGAAAAACGTGCATCAGAAAAAAGGGAGTTGTAATTAATGATGAAAAACAAAGAAGTTAGTTTTTAGGAGAAGAAGGGTTTAGGAACTTGATCTTGAGCATGTCATCTTAGCAATGTCTTTTGGATATCCAATAGTCAATCCAGGCTGGCTTTGGAGCTAGCTTTGGAAGCCCTCTGCATGAAAATTCCATTTAAAAGGGCATGGGAGTGGGTGAGATCAGAGTATTTTATTAAGGCATAAAGACAAAAGAAAAGTAAAAGGGTAGAGGTCATCTAAAAAAAGAATTTTTTAAAAAGAAAAAATTCAGATTTTCACTCTAATCCCGAATTTATTATTGACTACCATGATGGTTAATTTTACATGTCACCTTGACTGGCCCAAAATCTTATTTATTTTTTATCTCTTTAAAATTTTTATTTATTTATTTATTTATTTATTTATTAGAGAGTGTAGAAGGGAGGGTGAAAAGAGTGGGAGACAAACATTGATGTGAGAGATCCTGATTGGTTGCCTCTTGTACATGGCCTGACTGGAGACTGAACTCAAAAACCAGGCATGTGCCCTGACTGGGAATTGAACCTGTGACTTTTCAGTTTACAGGATGATGCTTCAAACAACAGCCCTACCAGTCAGGACACAATAACAATTTTTAATTTCTTTTTTTTGTTTGTTTTAAAGATTTTATTTATTTATTTATTTATTTATTTATTTATTTATTTAGAGGAGAAGCGAAGGAGAAAGAGAGGGATAGAAACACCTGGGCCACAACCCAGGCATGTACCCTGACTGAGACTCAAACCAGTGACCTTTCAGTTCACAGGCTGGCTCTCAATCCACTGAGCCACACCGGCCAGAACATAATTTCTATAAATCATAAGAAAAAAAAGTTGGCCTTGTGCGATCATTTTAAACTGCTTATCTGAGGTATGATAAGAATCATTAAACAATTATGTAAACTTTAAATAGGAAACTGAAACCTCTGTTTCTTGTTCCATCCACCTTGAAGCTTATTTCTGTATATCAGTTTCAACTTAATCTTACCATAGCTTGACTTGTTCATCAACAAAGCTAGTAACATTTAAGTTTTGTTCTGTAGCCATAATTAAGTCTTCCATGCTTTATTTTTAGGTTAATTATAAAAAATGCAAGCCAACAGTATTTATATTATTACAATTAATATAAATATTGCTTAATGAAGAACCCAACAAGATGCTAATACTACATTTCCTTCTCTATGGATCCAACATGCTACATGAAAGATGATTTTACTAGGGTTAAGGACCTAAATGCCTTCTCTCGTCTTGTACTCCATCAACTGCTCAAAACCATCCCAAATTTTAGTTTACTTTATGCCTTAATTATATAATCACCTGTTTTCCCTGGACTCTTTCCATCACTTTCTACTTTTTGTTGTTGAAACAAGGTACAAAGATTTTTTTATTATGTCACTAATATCTTCCAGCTTCTTATTCATCCAATCTGAGGCATGAAATACATTACCTTATTTTTATTGAAAACATTCTTCTTGGAACTCATTGACATTTTGTTATACTTGACTTTTATTCACTTTGTTACATTAAAGTAACAAAGAAATCCAAAATAAAAACTGCCCAACATCTCAAATGAGGAGAATCTAAACAATGTTAAGACAACCAGATAACAATCTAGCAAAATACAGACTTAGATCCATATCTCATATTCTGTTACAAAAATAAACTTCAAATCATCAAAGATGTAATGTAAAATTTTAGTACATAAGAAGTAATAAAAGAAAATGGGCAAATCCCATTATAACTCTGCAGTAGTGAAAGCCTTTCTAATCATGAAAAACTCTAAAAGCAATTGAAAAAATAAATAATCCATAGCAAAAATTAAACAAAAATCTAAAACAATCAAAACACAAAATGACAAACTGAAAAAACTATTTGAAGCTCAGAATACAGACAGCTAGGGCTTATTTTTGAGAAATATTCTTTATATTCCTTCATGGGAGCACACTGACTGCTGTTGCTCAGTGGGTTGGGCATCATCCCACAAGCCAAAGGTCACTGGTTTGATTTTCAGTCAGGGCACATGTATGGGTTGCAGGTTCAGTCTCTAGTCAGGATGTGTACAAGAGGCCACCGACTGATGTTTCTCTTTCACATCGATAATTCTCTCCCTCTCCCCTTTCCTTCCCCTCTCTCTAGAATCATTTTTTTTCCTTTAATACATTTTATTGGGATCCTTTTAATAAAACCAAGTACTTATTTGAGACAAAATTGAAACGAAAGACAAATCATATTTAAGCTCCCCCAAATTTCAAGGCAGCTGTTTTCTCCAGTAAGTTGACAGCTATCATACTGGCTAAGGCAGGAAATTCCTAGAATCTGCCCAACATCAGATAGAGGACATACTATGTCAGCAAAATCCATAGTGGCCCAAGAGAAGGACCGTGGCTCTTCTTGTCATACACAGCCTGAAGTGGCAGGAACCATTACCGAGTCATCCCAGCCATCTCACCAGCACTTTTCCAACAGGAGCAATCTTAGGCTTTCAGTCACCAGGTTTAGTGGTGAATATGGGAAGGGGCACTGCTCCTGGCTAGCCTTCCACAGCTCATGCTTTATTCAGGAATAACACGCTGGTCTACATCTTAAAGCCCCTTGTCGCGCTGCAGACCCACCCGCGAGAATCAGGGCCAGCAGGCAGCTGTGCAAGGATGCCCATGGCGCCGGGGCCCGCCACTATCTTCTCCTTAGGAAGCAGGTAGCGCAGCAGCCAACAAGCACACTGCACCAGACTACTCTTACCACTGAGCAATTCGCACAAAGAGCTCTAGAATCAATTAAAACAAGAAAACAAATTTTAAAAAAGAATTCATGGTAGTGACAGCAAGATGGCAGACTAGGAGGTCCCAGCTCTCTTGTGCTCACACTCCCTCTCTCTCTCTCTCACAGACAGACACACACACACACACACACACACACACACACACACTCTCACACTTTAACAACTACCTACAAATGAAACTATAGCTCTAGAAGAGCTCTGGAGTATAATTAAGAAGCCACAGCAACCCAGTAGAGCACAAAAAATAAGAATGGCCAAATAAAGTATAGGAAGCACCCTGACTGGTGTGGCTCAGTTGCTTGGGCTTTGTAC